CTCATTGCCCAGGCATGTGGCAGGCTGTGTGCTGAGGGATCGCCGCCAGCCCAGAGAACTCCCGTGATAAACGGGAGTGATGCCTACATCCCCCGGCTCCCTCACACCTCCAGGGATGCCTGAGAGGCTTGCTCTTCTCTACCCCCAGAGCCCCAGGGGAGTGAAGCTCCAGCTGCTCAGTAGGGCCCGCCTGGTACCGTTCCCTTTACGGCTGCCAGCCCTCCCCTACCAGTGTTTCCTGGGATCCCCTCCCAAATAAACTGCTCACTCTCAAATCTTTGTCTTAAATGGAATTCAACAGAAGACAGCGTTGAAGTGTGGATCCAATCTTCCCAAGTATAATACCCCAGAATGAGAGGGTCCTCACATCCTCTCAGAAGGCCACCAGGCCTAGGGGCTGACAGAGGCAGAGGCTGACTGTTAGCATCTAGGACACCAGGGCCAACCCAAGGCTGGCAGTGTGGATGGGGCAGGCATCCTGGAGGAGGTGAGTGGGGGTAGGTGGAGAACACAGAGCTGGCTGGACAGGAGAGACAGGAGAGAGGGGCCCAGAGGAGCAGGAGGGAAGGTAGCGGCCGAACAGGGCACCAGCTCTGCAGCCAGGCTTGCTTGGGGGTGACTCCAGCTCTGCCAATTCTGCAGCTGTGATGTTCACAAACTGCCTCAGTCTCCTCTTCTGTAAATGAGCATAACACGGAGGACAGGCTATACCACCCACCCTCAGGATCCAGAATCCTACAGCTGAGACAGAATTGTATCAGCAGGCTTGGGCTGTTAAATTACCCAACTGCCTATAAATCCCATCTTTCTCACTCATTCCCACATCAATGACAACCATTTCATCAGCACCTCTCACAGGCATCACTTTCAGCCCTCACAACAACCCACTGAGGTGGGTGTTATCTTCCGTGTTCTACACACAAATTTCTGAGACTCAGAGAGGTTAAATAACTGGTCCAAGGCCACACATCAGGGAGAAGGCAGAGTCAGGTACAGACCTGGGGGTGAGTCCTCCCCTTTCCCCTCCCTCCCAGGTGCCCAGTCGAGAGCAAGTACTCCATGGGTGTCACCCTGGTCCTCCTGGCCAAACACATTCTCCCAAGGGACCAGCTCAAACCAGGGCAGGGCCATGGGAAGCCAGAGCTGGGTCTCAGGCCCCACAAACATTCCCAGCAGCAACCTGATCCTCACCTCACCCAGAGATGGACGGGCTCACCGCACCTGACTTGGGGCTACACAAGGACTCTTACCAGCCTCCGCTGGGGCTTCAGATGCAGCAAGAAGGATCCAGGTTAGATGCGAGGTGCTGCCCTTCCACTCCCTCCACAACCCCATGCTCACCCAGCTTCTGCTCCTTTGCTCACGCCGCCCTCCTGCCTGGGGTGCATGCAGTCCTCCCTCCCAGCACCCGCCTCTCCCTCTGAGCCACCCACACTTTGCTGCACAGTAGAACACCTGGGGCACTTTTGGAAAATCCTGATGCCCAGGTTGCGTCCAGGACCTGTTCAATCAGAACATCTGGGGGTGGGAGTCAGGCTTCAGTAGTTTGAAAAGGTCCCAGGTGATTCAGTGTGAACAAGGCTGGGGAAGCATTGCTCCCACTCAAGGTTCCCAGCCCGAAACACACATACAATCACCTGGGAGCTTTAAAAATACCACCGTCCAGGTCACACCCCCAGGTTCTGTGCAATGGGTCTGGGGGGGGCCCAGTAGCATTTCACAGCTCCCAGGTGATTCTAGGCACAGCCAGGCTTGGGAGCCACCATTTTACAGTTCACAGAGTGCCTCCACTAATGCTTTCCCAAGACACCCTCTGGGCTGGTCACCATCAATCCCATCTCTCAGATGAGACAGCAAAGGCCCAGAGAGGCCACAGAGCTTGCCTCAGCTCGCAGTGAAGTACAACGGTCTTCTGAATCCACTCTGGCAAGCAGCCCAAACACCTGTCTGAGGGCGGCGAGAGGCGGCCCTCGCCCCAGTTCACCAGCCCACTTGGGAGATGTTCCCAAATCCTGACCTGAGGGTTGAGTCTGGACAGAGCCCACATGGACTGACGCAGGCTTTGTCCCCACCTGCCTCTCCCAGACCAACAGGTGACTCCAGAAAGCCCCTAGCCCTTGTCAGGCTAGGCCAGTTATCCATCTTGCCCCACTTCCAGTCTCACCTATCTCTGCCCCTGAGCCACATCTGATGGCCTATAATCAGGGTGACCATACCATTTTCCATCCCCACTTGGGCACTTTGAGAATAAATTGGGATGTTCTCATAATTACACCAAAAAGAATGAACAGGCTGTATGGTCACCCTACCTGTGAGGGCCCAGCCTCCCATGCCCAGACATGTTTGCACTCCCAGCACCTTTCCCATGATTACGGCCTGACGGGGGCATCTGCTGTGCAGCCTTGGGCAAGGTGCTTGGGCTCTCTGATTCTACATAATATGGGGTTCATAAAAGTCCCTAGTTATCGTGAGGGTGAGATGAGATGATGTCTTTAAAGTGTCTAAAACATAGTAGATGCACTATAAACAGTGGTGTTTGTGGTTATTAGCTCACCTAGGAACACAAGCACCCACACACCCTTTCTCCCTTAGAAATACCGACTCATGCACACACGATCACACACACAGGTGTGCGAGCACACACACTGCCACAGACACCCACAGAGGAACTTGCCTGGGCCCCTAGGGGATACCCACAGTCCCAAGAGGCCACCAGTCTCAGCGAGCCCTGGCCACCAGAGGGCAGCATGCTCCCCCACCTGCCCGCTCACATCATGAAGCTCCCTCCTCTCCTTGGCACAAGTGTGTCACCCCCCACTGCCTAAGATTCATGCATGTCCCTGTGGCCTGTTCAGTGGCCTGCTGGTCATCTGGCCCTCTGCCCCAGCTGCATCGATCAGTCCAGGAGGATGCAGGAGGGAGGTGCGCAGGCACCTCTCAGGCAGTGGCACCCAGACCTCCCAATGTCACTGAGCCCAGGTCCTGCTGCCAAGCTGCCCAGACCAAGAGCACACAAGGACCCACATCCAAACCATGAGGACAACCTCAGGGGCCTGAGGGCCTAGAGCTCACAGCTGGGTTCAAACCCTGCTCTGCCACCTCCCATCTGTGAAACTCGGGTCCCTTTGCTTACCCCCCCCC